TTTCATGCTTTAATTTTATGCTCATTAATTAAAGCAGACTTTCTTTAAATCTTAATTACACGAGCATGATCTAAGCAAAACAAGCATGTAAATAGCAAATTACTATCACGTGACTTATTAATGTAAGCTAGTCAAAAACAATTGTTGACAAAATATTTGTGCCCATTAATTTAAGCTAAACAACAAAGAATTGTTAACAAAACAATCGTGTCTATAGCACCTTGATATGATGTAACCCATTAATTTAAGCTAAACAACAAAAAATTGTTAACAAAACAGTTGTGTCTGTAGCACCTTGATATGATGTAACCCATTAATTTAAGCTAAACAACAAAGAATTGTTAACAAAACAATCGTGTCTATAGCACCTTGATTTGATGTAACCCATTAATTTAAGCTAAACAACAAAGAATTGTTAACAAAACAGCCGTGTCTATAGCACCTTGATATGATGTAACCCATTAATTTAAGCTAAGCAACAAAAAATTGTTAACAAAACAGTTGTGCCTATAGCACCTTGACAAAGGACTTACCTTGTCAATAATCTCGCGATTTGTGAGCCACAAATAAAATCGGTTTCTCTTGTACTGGGACAATCAAAGACCCCCCCCCCCCCCCCGCCCTCAACCCTCCACTTTCCATATTAGAGGGAGGTAATTGTTGCCACATAAAATCTTGTGGGCCCGAACCATAAACCCGCCCACTAAGGCGTCGTAGCACTCTGCCAATCGCCGGCAAGTTCACCGTACAACATTCCGGATAGTCAACAAAATAGGCAGCAAATAAAAATTAACACGATTCGGGAGATAAGATTATAGGCTACTTCTGATTGAAGAGTTACTTCCCCTTTTATGCCTGAATAACGCAAAGGGAGGGAATACATTCCAGACGTATCTAATAGAATAAAGTTCGGTAAAAATAGATGGTATATCTGTATAAGGTAGTGGGGTATAATGTTTTATACAAACAGATTGAATTGCATCGTGCGCAGTGTGATTTGTCTTGTAAACAAGATTTATTGTAATGTAGTGCAGAATAGTTAGCCAACCATGTAACATAAGTCAGTGAAGTCATTCAACAAAGTGTCAGTCACACAAAAAGACGTCAGGCATTCACTCAAGTTGATGACATTCACACAATTAGGTAACATTAAGCGGATTGTCTGACAAGTATCTGACAGACAGTTATACACGTATGACAGTCACAACTATATGTCAGACAGTTATACAAGTATGACAGTCGGACATCTGGTAGCATCTAGCAACTGCGAGCTGACCAAGGTGTTCCGGGTTGTTCTCAATGTGGTCTGACCTTGTCTGACCTTGGGTGTCTGACATTGGGTGTCTGACCTTGGGTGTCTGACCTTGGGTGTCGGACCTTGGGTGTCTGACCTTGGGTGTCGGAGCTTGGGTGTCTGACCTTGTGTATCTGACCTTGGGTGTCTGACCTTGGGTGTCTGACCTTGGGTGTCTGACTTTGGATGTCTGACCTTGGGTGTCTGACCTTGGGTGTCTGACCTTGGGTTTCTGACCTTGTCTGACCTTGGGTGTCTGACATTTGGGTGTCTGCGACCCGTCTCATGAATGAGCCAACAGGCCAACATGTCCTACAGGCCATCATGTCCTACAGGCCATCATGTCCTACAGGCCAACATGTCCTACAGGCCATCATGTCCTACAGGCCATCATGTCCTACAGGCCATCATGTCCTACAGGCCATCATGTCCTACAGGCCATCATGTCCTACAGGCCATCATGTCCTACAGGCCATCATGTCCTACAGGCCATCATGTCCTACAGGCCATCATGTCCTACAGGCCATCATGTCCTACAGGCCAACATGTCCTACAGGCCATCATGTCCTACAGGCCATCATGTCCTACAGGCCATCATGTCCTACAGGCCATCATGTCCTACAGGCCATCATGTCCTACAGGCCAACATGTCCTACAGGCCATCATGTCCTACAGGCCATCATGTCCTACAGGCCATCATGTCCTACAGGCCATCATGTCCTACAGGCCATCATGTCCTACAGGCCATCATGTCCTACAGGCCATCATGTCCTACAGGCCATCATGTCCTACAGGCCATCATGTCCTACAGGCCATCATGTCCTACAGGCCAACATGTCCTACAGGCCATCATGTCCTACAGGCCATCATGTCCTACAGGCCATCATGTCCTACAGGCCATCATGTCCTACAGGCCATCATGTCCTACAGGCCAACATGTCCTACAGGCCATCATGTCCTACAGGCCATCATGTCCTACAGGCCATCATGTCCTACAGGCCATCATGTCCTACAGGCCATCATGTCCTACAGGCCATCATGTCCTACAGGCCATCATGTCCTACAGGCCATCATGTCCTACAGGCCATTATGTCCTACAGGCCATCATGTCCTACAGGCCATCATGTCCTACAGGCCATCATGTCCTACAGGCCATCATGTCCTACAGGCCAAACATGTCCTACAGGCCATCATGTCCTACAGGCCATCATGTCCTACAGGCCATCATGTCCTACAGGCCATCATGTCCTACAGGCCATCATGTCCTACAGGCCAACATGTCCTACAGGCCATCATGTCCTACAGGCCATCATGTCCTACAGGCCATCATGTCCTACAGGCCATCATGTCCTACAGGCCATCATGTCCTACAGGCCATCATGTCCTACAGGCCATCATGTCCTACAGGCCAACATGTCCTACAGGCCATCATGTCCTACAGGCCATCATGTCCTACAGGCCATCATGTCCTACAGGCCAAACATGTCCTACAGGCCATCATGTCCTACAGGCCATCATGTCCTACAGGCCATCATGTCCTACAGGCCATCATGTCCTACAGGCCATCATGTCCTACAGGCCATCATGTCCTACAGGCCATCATGTCCTACAGGCCAACATGTCCTACAGGCCATCATGTCCTACAGGCCATCATGTCCTACAGGCCATCATGTCCTACAGGCCAAACATGTCCTACAGGCCATCATGTCCTACAGGCCATCATGTCCTACAGGCCATCATGTCCTACAGGCCAACATGTCCTACAGGCCAACATGTCCTACAGGCCAACATGTCCTACAGGCCATCATGTCCTACAGGCCATCATGTCCTACAGGCCATCATGTCCTACAGGCCATCATGTCCTACAGGCCATCATGTCCTACAGGCCATCATGTCCTACAGGCCATCATGTCCTACAGGCCATCATGTCCTACAGGCCATCATGTCCTACAGGCCGGCCATCATGTACTACAGGCCATCATGTCCTACAGGCCATCATGTCCTACAGGCCATCATGTCCTACAGGCCATCATGTCCTACAGGCCATCATGTCCTACAGGCCATCATGTCCTACAGGCCATCATGTCCTACACTGATATATTTTGAAAAAAAAATTGCTTATTAAATTTAAACCTTTTTAGAATAAAATAAAGCAAAGTTGTTTATTTTAACCTGACGAAGTCTTTATCTCAAAACGGCTTTAGTTTCCAATCTAAATTAGAGAAATTTTATTCTTTCGAGGATCATTAGCCAACAAAAAATGTTTCTCTTCATAAATTTCAGGTAACAGAGTGGTATATAAATTAACGAGCCAATTAACGGACTCATTACGCCGTTTAAAGAGTGGGTAAATTCATTAAAGTTCGGCTGTGACTGCTAATCAATCGTTTATTGTTTGTTAGATTGTTCGGTGTTGGATTTACGGGTGTGGGGGTAGGGGTGGGGGTGTCACGTGACTGGCTCCTTGTATTTTCAGGTGGTTTAAAGTATAAAATAACTTTAATATAGCTAGAGGAGTAGCGGTATATACACACAAGTAAGACCCCCCCCCCCCCAACTCACCGGACTACAACGGGGGAGCTGCTCTTTAGTTAGTGGCGTCATTAGGTCGGGTGTCACTCGGTGCGGTAATTGGAGGTGTCACCCCACCCCCTCCTACAATTATCATTTTTTAAATTTTACCTGGATAAAATAATGTTCCGACAGCAAGTCTTACGATTTTTTCGCTTTGCTGTCACTTCTAAATGGTGTCGCCCCTAAATGGTGTCACCCCTAAATGGCGTCACCCTTAAATGGTGTCACCGATAAACGGTGTCACCCCTAAATGGCGTCACCCCTAAATAGTGTCACCCCTAAATAGTGTCACCCCTAAATAGTGTCACCCCTAAATAGTGTCACCCCAACTTAAGTCCGGAACACATTAGAGCTGGGTGGACTCAGGGACTTCCTGAAGTCAAAAGTCCGAACTAAGATCTGAACTCGAGACCTTTGGCCTAGAAGTTAAACGCTCTATCATTCGACAACGTCTACACTAACTGACAGCCCCAAAACCAAATTATAGTCATTGTATTTACAACACCTAATTGAAAAACCATTTTCTCATTCCGCAAAGAAAAAAAAACCTTCCATTAATTCAAGCCCATCCCATTAGCCAGGAGATATTTACAACCAATGTCTAATACTTGCCTTATCAGCTGTGTCAAGAATCAACAATCACTGGCTGGAAATTACAATTTCACTCGCACTAGTGTACTTAGCTCCAAGTCGCTTTGATGTTGGTTTAACTGTAGGTTTGGTGTGGGTTTAACTGTAGGTTTGGTGTGTGTTTAACTGTAGGTTTGGTGTGGGTTTAACTGTAGGTTTGGTGTGGGTTTAACTGTAGGTTTGTGTGGGTTAAACTGTAGGTTTGATGTTGGTTTAACTGTACGTTTGGTGTGGGTTTAACTATACGTTTGGTGTGGGTTTAACTATACGTTTGGTGTGGGTTTAACTGTAGGTTTGGTGTGGGTTTAAATGCAGGTTTCGTTTGGGTTTAACTGTAGGTTCGGTGTGTGTTTAACTTTAGGTTTGGTGTGGGTTTAACTGTAGGTTTGGTGTGGGTTTAACTGTAGGTTTGGTGTGGGTTTAACTGTAGGTTTGGTATGGGTTAACTTATGTTTGGTGTGGGTTTAACTGTAGATTTTAGGGGATTTTACTGTAGGATTGATGAGGGTTTAACTGTAGGTTTTAGGGGATTTAACTGTAGGTTGGATGCTTGTTTAGCTGAAAGATTGATGAGGGTTTAACTGTAGGTTTTAGGGGATTTAACTGCAGGATTGATGAGGGTTTAACTGTAGGTTTTAGGGGATTTAACTGTTGTTTGGATGCTTGTTTAACTGAAGGATTGATAAGGGTTTAACTGAAGGATTGATGAGGGTTTAACTGTAGGTTTTAGGGGATTTAACTGTAGGATTGATGAGGGTTTAACTGTAGGTTTTAGGGGATTTAACTGTTGTTTGGATGCTTGTTTAACTGAAGGATTGATAAGGGTTTAACTGAAGGATTGATGAGGGTTTAACTGTAGGTTTTAGGGGACTTAACTGTAGGATTGATGAGGGTTTAACTGTAGGTTTTAGGGGATTTAACTGTTGTTTGGATGCTTGTTTAACTGAAGGATTGATAAGGGTTTAACTGAAGGATTGATGAGGGTTTAACTGTAGGTTTTAGGGGATTTAACTGTAGGATTGATGAGGGTTTAACTGTAGGTTTTAGGGGATTTAACTGTTGTTTGGATGCTTGTTTAACTGAAGGATTG